CCTTTTTTTTTTGGGTAATGCTCAGAGGCAGCGGGAACTGGTGAAATATGGGTCATTCTATATGGCCGTGGAACTCCATTTTCATAATTTTGGTTGAAATAGCAAACCGAAGTCCTTTTTCTCAGCTTGAAGGAGGGTTGATGAGTGTAAACATATTTACTTTGTTTTTATTTTCCCATGAATGACATGTGCATGTTCAATAAACTTGATGAAATCTTAGCTGATTGAATCTCATTTTCTGTTGCACTGCTGCTGCATACACGTAACAATTTTGTCTTCATTTCTGTGCAGCTTTTAAATCTTGTTCAGAGGGAGATAAAAAGAGTGTGACTGTTTATGTTATTGTTGGAGTAGGGGCAACATGCATTTTCCTGTTGGTAATGAGCACACTTTGGTGGAAAGGGTATCTGCAATGCAAAAAGAGACAGAGAAAAGGTGATCACTGAACATGTGTTAGAAAGAAGTAACTTTAACTAGCAAATTCTGTGATTAGGCAGTTGATCCATGCATTGCTGATCTGAAAGAGCACATTCTACTGAAATGATAATCAACAAAATCTCACTATCCAGAAGTTATGAGTTGTAAATAGATGACTAACCATTAAAGACTCTATTTCCATGACAGATTTAGAAGGCATGGAGCTGCAGACTGTTTCTTTTGCTTTAAAGCAAATAAAGGCTGCCACTAACAACTTTGATGCTTCTAACAAGATAGGGGAAGGTGGTTTTGGCGCAGTTTACAAGGTATCATTATGGGAACAATAGTAATGGTAGCATCTTTGTTATCATTATTGTTTGTGAACTCTGACCAAGTATTTGATGTAGGGCCGGTTATCTGATGGTACTTCAGTTGCAGTGAAGCAGCTCTCACATCAATCAAGACAGGGAAACCGTGAATTCTTAAATGAGATTGGCATGATTTCTTGTTTGCAACACCCAAATCTTGTTAAGCTGCATGGTTGCTGCATTGAAGGGACTGAATTACTGCTCGTATATGAATACTTGGAGAACAATAGCCTTGCTCGTGCACTATTTAGTAAGTTATTCATTCACTTTTAAAAAAAATTCTAAACTACTACCAGCTCTCTATGAAATGTCTATTAACATTTTAGTATGATGGACAACTTTAGATCCAGAGAAAAGTCAATTGATACTTGATTGGCCGACAAGGTTCAAGATTTGTGTTGGGATTGCTAAAGGTCTAGCTTACCTTCATGAGGAATCAAGCCTTAAAATTGTACACAGAGACATTAAAGCTACTAATGTACTGCTAGATAAAGATCTAAATCCCAAAATTTCGGACTTCGGGCTGGCTAGACTTACTGAAGATGAGAAGACCTATATTAGCACTCGAGTTGCTGGAACAATGTATGTTTCAATGCAGAATTCAAACTAGATTTTCTTTTTGCCTTTATCCTGTCATCAGTGTGGTTAGGTAAAATTTGTGGCATAATTGTATGTTAATAACTGCAGAGGATACATGGCACCAGAGTATGCACTGTGGGGTTATTTGTCCTACAAAGCAGATGTCTACAGCTTTGGGATTGTCCTTCTTGAAATTGTTAGCGGCAAGAACAACAATAACTATGCCCCTTCCGACAATTTCATTTGTCTTTTAGACTGGGTATCTTCCTTTACCTTTATTGTTAATGCACTTCAAGACAGCCAGACCATTCTGCTATTTTTAAGATTGAGAATCGTTGAACTCTTTTAACCGAAAAACCTCCATATAAAATTTTATTGCAGGCCTGTCACTTGCTACAAAATGGAAAAATAGAGGAGCTTGTCGATGATAAATTGGGTTCTCGTTTCAGCAAAGCAGAAGCAGAAAGGATAATAAAAGTAGCACTATTATGCACTAGTGCGACACCATCACTCAGGCCTGTAATGTCTGAGGCTGTAGGCATGCTTGAAGGACAAAGAGATGTCCCTGATGAAATCCCAGAAGCAAGTACGTATTCTGATGATTTGAGATTTAAAGCCTTGAAAGATTTCCAACGAGAGAGGCTAAATCAAAGCGCATCAAGTAATCAAGCTCAATTAGCAAGCATACAAACTGCCTCTGATCTCTGTGAATACAACCCGGAATCAAGATCTGACTGACTCTATAATTTTATCTTTCTTAGTAATCTCTTGCCGGTGTAGAGCAGTGGTTTATGGTTCCTGAGGGACTGCATTGGTTCAAATACTCTCATGGAGTAGGATTGTTGTAACTATTTGTATATTAATTCTTTTGTGAGTGAGATGTCTATAAAATGTTCATAAATCTCCCAAGAAAAAGTGTCAGGGCACCATTCTAGTGGTGCTACAATGTTTTTTAAAATCTCCCAAGAAAAAGACAAATCTGTTATAAAATGAAAGCAACTTAGTAAAACATGAACAAGACATGTTATGAAATAAAAGCAATTTAGTAAAACATG